AAATCTCGTGCACTAGAACATCGATATGCGGAAACAAATTTGAGCCCAGCATGTTGGTTAGTTATACGGGTCCAAATGCTAGCATAGGTAGGAGAACCCACCATAAGGGTATGTTTAAAGCATGTAATCGGCTCTAAAAAGAAGGTAATCTAAGAAAAGAGGGCTTCACCATGTTGCACAAGCCAAACCGCATCTATCATTTACTATATCGTGGATCCACTACATGCAAAGGGTGTCTGAAAATATATGGATTCAGTGAGCAAAAAGATTCTCATTGTGCTTACCAGATACATTTAATCATACATGCCATGGGAAGTGAACAACGTTATGCACTTAAACAATTGGCTTGTAGGTTTTTGTATTACAGAACTTCGATTATCATAGACATTAATGTGCCAAACATACTAGGCTTATACCACAAACTTATTGACAAATAGACTACTAGAGTGTATTTGAGCCCTTTTTTGTGGCGACTTTGAGAGATACGAGTATAGGTCCCCCTTTCATGGCCATACAATTGTTGGATAAGAAGAACCATATGCACCTCTACCGAAGCCTAAATTAGATTTGAGCGCATTGCTATACAGGTGATTTATGGCAAGACTTATGTCTTCTTTTCCTATCCACATTGTCTTATGTCTGGAAAGCAGTGTAAAGACATCCTCCCCCATAGTGTTTTGGGATGGTGGAGATTGAAAACGTCGGACATAATCTTACATTCTTGAGAAGACGGTACATGCTACACTAGATTAAGTTTATATCGAGTGATTTTGAATTAGATGATTATTATGTTTCATAGGTAAAGAGATTTGTGGACGTCGTGGCTGTAGATAAGAATATGCTTGCTCAATGAGAACTTTAATGTTCGTCAATTGCAAAGTGTGACGTAGAGGTTTTTAATTGGCAGAGTGATGAAGGAGGAACTTATTTGCAAAGTGTATTATGGAAGAAAGAAAAGAGATCTGTTGATGCACAAAACCAGAGGTCTTGGAACAACGTAAATCCGATCGTGAATCTGCAAGAAATGTAAATAACACAAGATGTATCGTGGTTCACCCCAAGGTTTGGGCTACGTCCACACTGAATATTGTATTTCTCTGAGAGTATGAGGGAGATAACCTCTGAATATGAGAGGGGATGTGAGAGGGGTGAGAAGGCTCTAGAAATGGCCTCCCCTAATTGTGAGGGTGAGGAGTCATTTTATAGAATAAGGGCTCCTCACTTATTACATATTTGCCCATTCCTTTATCACATAATTACATTTAAGTCCCCCGAGTATTTGTACGAGATCTAAATACTAGGCCCTAAATATGGTATAAACAGTAGTCCCCCAAGTCTTCAGTCAAGAGAGTCTTTTGGCTGAAGACTTGAAATTCAGTCCATGTGTGGGCCGAAGTAACTAGATGTCGTCTAGAACTGATGCTCGATATGAGGCGGTGCCCAATCTGAAATGATGCTCAACTAGAAGTAGCACATGTTGCGAGGCCGCTCTGCTTGTGGCTTATGTTGCCTTGGTTGGCTCAGTTTGTGGCGTTTGAAGGTGAAGGAGTCCATTTTATAGTATAAGGGCTCGCTTCTCAATACATAAATATGGGCTAGAGTTGATGCTCGCGGCGAGGCGGTTGCTCAGTAGACAGCTATGCTCTCTAATGATGGTGAGGGAGTCCCTTTTATAGAATAAGGGTTCACTCCTCAATACATGAATAACGGGGCTAGAGTTGATGCTCTCTAATGATGGTGAGGGAGTCCCTTTTGTAAAATAAGGGCTCGCTCCTCAGTATATAAGTGATGGGCTAGGAGTGATGCTTGCGGCGATGCGGTTGCTCAGCTGGTGGCGTTGCTCTCTAATGAAGGTGAGGGAGTCCCTTTTATAAAATAAGGGCTCGCTCCTCAGTACATGAATAATGGGTGCTCTCTAATGGAAGTGAGGGAGTCCCTTTTATAGAATAAGGGCTCGCTCCTTGATACATAAATAATGGGCTAAGTCCCCCAAGTATTTTTCATGAGGCCCAGTTGAGGCCCAATATATGGTGTATAGTGTAGTCCCCTAAGTCTTCGGTCAATAGAGTCTGTTAGCTGGAGACTTCAAATTAAATCCGTGTATGGGCCGAAGTGGCAGTTGTTCGGAGGTGGTATTTGTATACCTTGCACTGAAGCTTTGTAGGTGAAGCTTTGCAAGTGAAGCTTTGAAGCTGGAGCTCTGTAAATGAAGCTTTTGAAGTTAGAGCTTTTTGTAAATGAAGCTTTTGAAGCTAGAGCTCTGTAAATGAAGCTTTTGAAGCTGATTGACATGAGTAATGCTCATGGATGTTGACATGAGTGATGCTCATGAATGTTGACATGAGTGATGCTCATGAATGTTTATGTATGATTGATATGAGTGATGCTCATGAATGTTTATGTATGATTGATATGAGTGATGCTCATGAATGTTTATGTATGATTGACATGAGTAATGCTCATATATGTTTATGTATGAATGACATGAGTATTGCTCATGTCTAATTTGGAGTACTAAGCGTACTTTTGATCACCTGGTTGTTGGCATGAAGGAGAGTACGGGTTATACATTTCATCACCTGGTTGGTGGCATGAATGGCTAGTTGCCAAATGATATTAGAGTACGAGTTGTACATTTCATCACCTGGTTGGTGGTAATAGCGGCGGGTTGCCGAATAATTTTGGAGTATTGGGCGTACTTTTGATCACCTGGTTGGTGGTAATAGCGGCAGGTTGTCGAATAATTATGGAGTACTGGGCGTACTTTTGATCGCCTGGTTGGAGCTATTTTGGGCTTATGGGCCTTCGCCCTCTACATAACATTCCAACCCATTTGTTTTTGGCTTTGCCGTTTTTTAATTTTTTTAATTTTTTTATTTTGTTTTATTACCCTCTGATGGGGTTTATACAGATGTATCCGAAAGATAAGAAAAATAATTTACATCATTCAGAAATAAGAAAAGTAAATCACATCTTTTTGGTGAGGTGTTTATTCCTTGCTTTTGCAGTGTCCCCATGTGCCTCTCTTTTACTTTTCTCTTTTTCTTTCTTTTTGCAGATGACAGATAAGGAAATAGCGACATTTCCCTTTTCTTTTTACTTTTTCTTTTGCTTTCGTTTTCAGCTTACTTGATTGCTTTTGCCTTCTTCTTTTCTCTTTTCTGCTTCACCTCTCTCCGTCTCTTCACCTGGCAGACAAAAGGAATCACGATAGAAATAATAATATGAAGCTTTATCTTTTTAGAGTGGGCATCTTCTCAAAGGCAACTCTGTTCTCCTTTCCAGTGAGACCGACGTATCATCCAAAGAAATCAAAGGCAACTCTGTTCCTTCTTTTGTCATGGGCCAAAGTTCTCCTAACGTGAATTTGTCAGGCACGCCAATATCTATCCGTTCCACCTCAACCGGCACGACGGGGAATGCAGTTCTCCCAGGATTAAACTGGTGCGTTAGCTTGGGCGCCTTGCCCATCGGAGAAAGCTGCAGGTTCACAGCCATACCAGCCGCCGATTCCCTAGGATGGTGGTCATGTTGGAGTTGCTTCATGGAGCGGTGAAGCATCTCCAACCGAAACGTCTGGCCGTCAAAGAATTATCCGGCGTTGTTACCCTTGTACTCCTCGCTGCTCCCTTGTACTCCTCGCTGTTTTGTTAGTTTGTGGAGAATGTTTCAGGTGAAAGTGGGACGATGAAGTGGGGCCCACACCTTGCTGACATGGTAAGATGATCGGAGTGATGACGGTGCCTTTGGGGCCCTTTCAACGTTTCCTCCGATGCCCACTAACATCGTGGCATCCGCCGTGCCGATGGTTCCAAACCTTGCAGCGGGCCAGAAAACTAGCAAGCATTTTCGACGAAGACATCAATGTCAAAACCTCACTCCTCCGCTCTCAGCCCTCCCTTAGGTACCTTCTACGTTTCCTTGAATGCCCACTACTATCGTGGCATCCGCTGCGCCGACGATTCCAAACGTTCTATCGGTTCTGACGAAAGTGGCGTCGCTGAGGGGTTGAGGTGCTTGCTGTTGGTGAGATCGTGATGAGGAGGATGAGGGGGAGGATTTCAACAAGAAGTTCATTTCCTGCGTTTCTCTGCTACAGGGCTTGTTCGGAAGTGAATTCAAAACGGGTTTGGCAAGGGAACTCTGGGAGCTGCAGTTGCTGTTGTAATTGTTCGTGGCAAGGAAATACTAGTGCACCTGACGGTGATCGTATGAAGGACACGATGAGGAGGAAGAAGACAAGTGGAAGCGGAGTTGATGCGTTGCTGAGCGAGTTTCTGGAACACGTCTCTTTCGAGAGAGTCGAATTCTTCGGCGACCAAATCCCAGTCGTCGTCCTCCAAAGCCATTGTTGGACAGGAAACTCAGAGAGTTGCAGAGTGCCGAGTCACAGACTTAGTGAGTTACCATTCTCGTATTTGCAGAGTATTTTGAAATTTTGGTGTTTTGGATTTTTTTTTTTTTTGTAAGAGGATAGCCAAGTGAGAGATAAAGTATTTGGTTTCCTGGGTTTTTTTTTTTCTGGGAAAGCTTTGGGTTGTTGGGTTTTTACAGATTCACGATGGAGGTGAAAAAAATGAAAAAGAACCGACACAACTTTTCGTATTGCTTCCCACAGACGGCGCCAAATGTTGATGCATAAAACCGGAGGTCTTGGAACAACGTAAATCCGACTGTGAATTTGCAAGAAATGTAAATAACACAAGATGTATCGTGGTTCATCCTAAAGTTTGGGCTACGTCCACACTAAATATTGTATTTCTCTGAGAGTACGAGGGAGAGAACCTCTGAATATGAGAGGGGATGTGAGAGGGGTGAGAAGGCTCCAGAAATGGCCTCCCCTAATTGTGAGGGTGAGAAGTCCTTTTATAGAATAAGGGCTCCTCACTTATTACATATTTGCCCCTTCCTTTATCACATAATTACATTTAAGTCCTCCGAGTATTTGTACGAGATCTAAATACGAGGCCCTAAATATGGTATAAACAAGATCTAATAATGAGTGTAAGGGAGGATAACCTCAAGAAAGTGAATCTTTCAATGATGTATGATTTCACTCTTTTAGAATGCGGCTTACTATATCTGATTAGAGGATTAGAGAGTTAAATTAGAAGACTTTTAGAACTGGAATTATAAAACTATAACAATTCTAGTCACAATATATTTGAATTACTTTATAACTATAAAGTTATATGACATACAATCAGAAAGTCAGCAACAAAACATTATCTTCATATTGCATCGCTCAAGTGCAAAAACCAAATAAAAAGGCATACGTTACCCAGTATAGGTTGTCTGTTCCCACTTGCAAGTAATCAAGGGAGAATTTGTTTTCATCATGCATGACATGGTAGTGTGTAGGCCGTTAGTTCCCTACACGAATAGAAGATATCAATTCAAGCTATAACAAAACTTAAGATTTCATATTTTGCAGTGAATAGGAGACGAATATAATACCTGGTATATATAAATAAACAAACATAAAATACCTGAATGCCAGTATGACTGTTGAGATAATAATCGAACTCCCTCGGATGACAAGATTATTTCTTCACGATGAGCTTGTGCAGTAACAAGTCCTCGGTACTAAGTGATCTATAGCCAATCCATTGACGCTACCACCTGTTGGAATAAATAAACATGTTAACACGTTGTGCATTTTTAATTGAATTCAAATCAAAATAGACGACTGCACTTACAGGCGGAATTGACGGACTGATGTCCTTTCCAGGTTGAGGATGAGTAGGGAGGATTGAGGATCCTTAGTGTGAGTAGATCTGGTGGTTTAAAGGGTTTTATGGAGACAAAAGAAGAAATCATAAGATTGGATAATGATACGTGGTGCAACATGAATGGTTGAGAATTTTACTAAAAATCTGAACGGATTGCTAATGAAGAATAACACGTGGCACAACATCTATGGTCGATAATCTTACTAAAAATATGAGCAGATATTATTAATGGATAATAACACGTGATATTACACGAATAATCAAGAATCTTAGCAAAAATCTACTACGATAATGACACTTGGAGATATGACGAAGAAAACATTAAAAATTAAAAAATATACTTGTGAATAGTAATTATCCTTGCTCTTGCCCTTCATTTTCCCAAACGGGTGGACTTGCATAAAGACAATTACTATTTAAAGTGAATAGTAAGACAATTTTATTGCCCTTGCCAACAATTGTCATTGCTCACCAGTCATCCGTTAGGCCGATAATTGCCCGGGCTAATTAACAACTGGCAGTTATTAATTTAGTGAGTAGTAATTACTCGAGGCAATGACATTAAAAAATTGTTTATTTATTTTTAAAAAATTGTTTTTTTTAAAAAAAAATTAATAATATTATGTTTAATTTCTAATTCTCTTAATTTTGATTTTTTTACTTTTTGTATTCTTTTATAATTAAATTTTTTTTTCTAAATGAATAATATAGACCGTCAGATTACAATTTTTTGCAATCCAACAACCATGTTGTGCTACGTGGGCTCAACCTTTTTTTAGATTTTTTTTTCTTTTATTTAATTTTGTTTGAATTAAAAAAGGTAGATTAATATGGACCATCGAATCTAAGAAATGCAACAGCCCACGTGGAAAGAACATAAGTACGCCTGCAGCGTGGGTACCACCGACACTTTTTGGTCCACTCACTCTATCTTACTCGCACGTAAAGGCCATGCGCTTGATGCCCAAAAAAAATTATGTATATACGTGGCTGACGTCATATCGACTTAGGCGGACAAGCGGGTGAGAATGCCCCAATTGTTTGGTCTGAGCCGTTGGGCCACTAAATAGCCCCACTCATTTGGGTGGGTTGGAGCAATTTTTGTTAGGGTGGGGGGATTGAATCACCCAATTGCAAGGGGGACTGGAGAAGTAGGGTTGCTTCAAGCAATGCCTTTGGGCAAGCTTAATCCACTCTAAGAGCATCTCCACTAATTGGTGGAGGGCAATGGCAATTGGAAGGCAAGGGTAATGAAATTGCCCTTGCGATTCACTCTAAACAGTAATTGCCTTATGCAAGTTCACCAGTTTGCAGGACAACGACAATGGCGATTACTAATGACAAATATTTTGTTTAATGTTTTTTCATCTTATCCTCCACATATCATTATCATCATAATTTAAAATGTTTCATTTGCAAGTGTGTTGAACTTTGTAAGATTTCTTAAGTGTGAACTTTGTAAGTTTTTTTAATGCTTATAATATTTTTTTTTAATTTTGGATATTTTAGAGTTAGTTTAATATTGACCGTTGAATTTTTCAATTTTTTAGAATCTAACGCGTCACGTGGCACAACCCTAAATTTTTAAAATTTTTTTTACTGTTGGAAATCCAACGATTGTTGTTGCATCAAAATTGAGTAGTTTGGCTCTGGTCCTTCACATGGGGTGGCCCCCTTGTCTACTCCTTCTCCATTCAGGATCCACTTAGGCAGACAAGTAGGCAAAAATGGCTCGATTGCTTGGTCTGAGGGGTTGGGCCATTGAATAGTCCCATTGGTTTGGGTAAGCTGAAGTAGTTTTTGTTGGCGTAAGGGAATTGAATCACGCAATTGCAAGGTTAACTGGGGAGATGGAGTTGCTCTAAGCAATAATTGCATTTATGCAAGCTTATCCACTCTAAGAGCATCTTCACCAGTTGGTGGAGAACAATGGCAATTGGAGGGTAAGGACAATGAAATTGCCCTCACGATTCACTCTAAACAGTAATTGCCTTTGTGCAAGTTTGCCAATTTGGAAGGACAATGGCAGTAGCAAATACTATTCACAAATATATTTTTATTTTTAATGTTTTTATTCATCTTATCCTTTACATATCATTGTCATCGTAATTTAAAATGTTTCACTTGCAAGTGTGTTGAACTTTCTAAATTTTTTTAAATGTAAACTGTGCAAGTTTTTTATAATGCTTATAATAATTTTTTAAATTTTGTTGGTAATTTTAAGATTTTTTTGGATTTTTTAGAATTAGATTAATCTTGGCCGTTGAATATTTTAGTTTTTTTAGAATCTAAGACGTCACATGGCATAGCCCAAAATTTTTTAAATTATTTTTACCGTTGGAAATCCACCAGTCTTAATCAACAGACCGTTAGAAATCGAACAATTGTTGTTGCATCAAAAGGAAAACTGTCCCTTGGCTCCACATAGTTGCTGATGTATGGATCTCCCTCGTGTTACCCACCAATTGGGTCCTACATGAGCAGGGGTGTTGAAATATCTCACATCGACCATATCTCTGAGAAAATAAGAGTTTAAATATCATAAACCCACTATAACTAATACCGAGACATTTTGTGATAAAACCTCACACCTGATGAATTGTACAAGTGGTAATTAACAAATTGGGGACAATATCGGCGTTGTTGGAAATGGGTCTTTGACCCGTCTCTCTGATATTTCTACAAGGAGTAGGCTTTAGTCACTAATTTTTCCTTGTGTTTCGGTTTCAATTCCACCTTATATGTCTGCACTTTCTCAATTCCCATAGAGTTTTGGATCTGGTTTTACTGGTACTAGTTCTTATTCTAATATGGGACTACCTCAATCTCCAACTTGGTTATAATTCTAATCCTAGCATTTTCAGTGGTTTTCATTCAAATGGTACTAATTTTGGAGGTCAAGGGAACAAATCTTTTAGAAATGACACTTACAAACCCAAAGGCCCTGGTGGATATAAATCTAAATTCCATGGCCCCAAGTTTGGTAATTCTTGGAGATAAAGTTTGTTTTTAGGTTTTAATTCTCAGTTCTGTTATTTCTTCTCACTCTCAAAGGAAACATATAAATACATTAGCCGCACATTTTGCAGCACAAGGAAAGTAAATGACTCTTAGACTAACTAGAAAACACAACCAAAGAATTATATTTATATTTACATTTATTCAAATAGGGACTCAAGTTAACACTCTCCCTCAAGTTGGTGCGTAGATATCTCCTAGCCCCAACTTGTCAAGTGAGTTATGAAACCTCCTAGCAGAGATCGCATGTGTTAGAATATTTGTTAACTATTCTTCCATTCTGACAAATGGAATGTCAACGAGCTTAACATCCAACTTCTCTTTTATGAAGTGTCTATCCACCTTAACGTGCTTGGTTCTATCATTTACATATCATTGTCGTCGTAATTTAAAATGTTTCACTTGCAAGTGTGTTGAACTTTCTAATTTTTTTAAAATGTAAACTGTGCAAGTTTTTTTTAATGCTTATAATAATTTTTTAAATTTTGTTGGTAATTTTAAGATTTTTTTGGATTTTTTAGAATTAGATTAATCTTGGCCGTTGAATATTTTAGTTTTTTTAGAATCTAAGACGTCACATGGCATAGCCCAAAATTTTTTAAATTATTTTTACCGTTGGAAATCCACCAGTCTTAATCAACAGACCGTTAGAGATCGAACAATTGTTGTTGCATCAAAAGGAAAATTGTCCCTTGGCTCCACATAGTTGCTGATGTATGGATCTCACTCGTGTTACCCACCAATTGGGTCCTACATGAGCAGGGGTGTTGAAATATCTCACATCGACCATATCTCTGAGAAAATAAGAGTTTAAATATCATAAACCCACTATAACTAATACCGAGACATTTTGTGATAAAACCTCACACCTGATGAATTGTACAAGTGGTAATTAACAAGTTGGAGACAATATCGGCGTTGTTGGAAATGGGTCTTTGACCCGTCTCTCTGATATTTCTACAAGGAGTAGGCTTTAGTCACTAATTTTTCCTTGTGTTTCGGTTTCAATTCCACCTTATATGTCTGCACTTTCTCAATTCCCATAGAGTTTTGGATCTGGTTTTACTGGTACTAGTTCTTATTCTAATATGGGACTACCTCAATCTCCAACTTGGTTATAATTCTAATCCTAGCATTTTCAGTGGTTTTCATTCAAATGGTACTAATTTTGGAGGTCAGGGGAACAAATCTTTTAGAAATGACACTTACAAACCCAAAGGCCCTGGTGGATATAAATCTAAATTCCATGGCCCCAAGTTTGGTAATTCTTGGAGATAAAGTTTGTGTTTAGGTTTTAATTCTCAGTTATGTTATTTCTTCTCACTCTCAAAGGAAACATATAAATACATTAGCCGCACATTTTGCAGCACAAGGAAAGTAAATGACTCTTAGACTAACTAGAAAACACAACCAAAGAATTATATTTATATTTACATTTATTCAAATAGGGACTCAAGTTAAAACTCTCCCTCAAGTTGGTGCGTAGATATCTCCTAGCCCCAACTTGTCAAGTGAGTTAGGAAACCTCCTAGCAGAGATCGCATGTGTTAGAATATTTGTTAACTATTCTTCCATTCTGACAAATGGAATGTCAACGAGCTTAACATCCAACTTCTCTTTTATGAAGTGTCTATCCACCTTAACGTGCTTGGTTCTATCATGTTGTATTGGATTGTTAGCTATCTCTTGTGCCACTTGATTATCACAATACAACATCATAGATCCCTTAGGCTTGAATCCTATCTCAACGAGTAAAATCCGAAGCCATAAAAGCTCACAAATATCGTGAGCCATTCCCCTGTATTCTGCTGATGATCTTGCCACAACATTATATTTTTTACTTCTCCAAGTGACAAGGTTACTAGCTACAAATGTGAAATAACCTGACGTAGATCGCTTATCAGTAATATTGCCGACCTAATTCGCATCAGTTTACCATTTTACCTCCATGTGTCCATGCTTCTTGAACATCAAACCTTTTCCAAGAGCCATTTTTAAATAATTAACCA